CTGACCAAGTAGTCCTCTTCTCCCTCCAAACCCAGTTCAGACATTACCTCCTCCAATAAATTTCCCTTGACCTTCTCAGCAAAGAAGAATCACTTCTTTATTCTCATTGTGGCCTTAACACAATTCCATTATTAGATAGATTCCATCACTTTACAAATTATTTATTTACAAGCTTTCCTCTCCCATAAGCCTTAGGAAGTCAGACAGGGTTTATCTTTTTTTTTTTTTCTTTTTAACCCTTATATAAGTAAAAGTTAATCGTTTATCTTATTATATATTTTAGTACCTAGCAGCTTGCAATATACCACTCAACAGATGTTTGCTAAAGTAAACAAGTCCTCTATAACTCAAAACAGTTGCAGGTGGGTAGTTAAAAAACCAATTAAACAAGTCCTTGCTATTCAGCATTATTATAAACACTATAAACCTACACACACAAAAACTGAAGGCAAAGGCTGGGCGTGGTGGCTCACGCCTGTAGTCCCAGCACTTTGGGAGGCCAAAGCAGGTGGATCACCTAAGGTCGAGAGTTTAAGATCAGCCTGACCAACATGGAGAAACCCTGTCTCTACTAAAAATACAAGAATTAGCCAGGCGTGGTAGTGCATGCCTATAAATCCCAGCTACTCAGGAGGCTGAGGCAGGAGACTTGCTTAAACCCAGGAGGCAGAGGTTGCAGTGAGCCAAGATCATGCCATTGCACTCTAGCCTGGGCAACAAGAGCGAAACTCCCAACTGAAAAAAAAGAAAATTTAAGGCAAGATCTTTAACCAAAAATATTTCACAAACTGAAAAAATGTATAGAGTTCATAGTTCAGTGTTTTGTTTAAATGAGTATAGACACCATAAATTAGTGCTTTTTAAAAGTAGTTCGTAGTTCAGTGTTTTGTTTAAATTTGTATAGACACCATAAATTAGTGCTTTTCAAACTGTTGGTCATGACCTATTATTAACCAACTGTGAAATCACTTTAGTAGGTTAAGGCCAATGTTTTTGAAAATGTCAGCATATTATCAAATGTAGTTATCACACACACACATGCACGTAGTAACATATATACACAATTACCACGTACATTTTTTATTGGGAGTCAGAATAAACAATCATCTGAAAGCTACTTCCATAGTTATATAAGTTCCAAGGTTTCTATTAACAAACAAGTAGTAGTAGTCATGGAAGGCCTCTTCAATGAAGGACTTAACATTTGAAGCATAATCTCTCTCCCACCATCCCTTCTCAGCTCAACTATCATTCTCCCCCTTAGTTACCATGCTCTAGCCACAAAAGTCTTAGCAATTCGTTGAACAAGGCAAATGTGTTCGCACTTTAGGGTCTAGCATATATTGGTTCTGCTGCCTAGAAAACTCTGCTTAGATAACTTTGCTCCTGCAGTCTAGGACACCCAGGGAGCAGCCCTCCCAGACTACCTAAGATAGCCACCACATCCCGCAAGTCTATCCCCTTGTCTACTTCTATTCCTTTTCATTTTACTCATTACCACCTAATGTCACGTTTGTGTCCCTCTCCACAAATGTCAGCTCCAAGAAAACAGGGACTTTGTCTTCTGTTTTGTTCATTACTGTAACACCAGAGATTAGAACAGTGTTGGCCACAGGGCAAACATCCCTGAATAGGCTTTGACAGGCAAGTTAAAGGAAGAATGAATGGAGTTGAGCTTAAGCAAGATATATCACAGAGGAAACACCAGCTTAATAATGCTCAAGAGTAAGGAACAAGGCTGAAGAAGAATATAATATAAAAAGGTTTAAAAGTCAGAAAGTAGAATTTGGACTTTATCTTGTAAACTGGGAGTCATTCAAAGATTTGACCAAATGGTGACCCTTTCAAACATTTATTCAGCACAGGTTCAATTCACTTTGACAGAATAGACAGTGCAAAGGTCAACAGCACATGTTCTCTCCTCAGGCTTGCATGTTTAGCAACAGGTTCAAAAATTTTTCAAAAACAAATTATTCTGGCAGTCACACGCAAAACAGATTCAAGGAAGGAGAATCTAAAGTTTAAAGAGAGCAAGTAACAGGTAATGCAGAATTCCAGGACAAACTCAGAGCCAATAAAGGGAAAACAACTGTGCTGGTTGATACATTGCAGACTGCTTCAAGATTTAAGTGGCCAGGAGCAGTGACTCACACCTGTAATCACAGCACTTTGGGAGGCGAGGCAGGTGGATCATGAGGTCAGTTCAAGACCAGACTGGCCAACATGGTGAAACCCCATCTCTACTAAAACATACAAAAATTAGCTGGGAGTGGTGGCTTGTACCTGTAGTCCCAGCTACTTGGGAGGCTGAAGTAGGAGAACTGCTTGAACCTGGACCCTGGAGGAGGTTGCAGTGAGCCAAGATTCTGCCACTGCACTCCAGCCTGGGCTACAGAGCGAGACTCCATCTCAAAACAAACAAACAAACAAAGATTTAAGTATAATGATGAAATTAAAAGATAATCTGGGAGCAGGTGAAAAGCTAATAATAAATCTAAACATGACAGAGCTGGCTGCGGTAGCTCACACCTGTAATCCCAGCACTTTGGTAGGCCGAGGTAGGCAGATCACCTGAGGTCAGGAGTTCAAGAACAGCCTGACCAACATGGAGAAACCCTGTCTCTACTAAAAATACAAAATTAGCCAGGCATGGTGGCACATGCCTGTATCCCAGCTACCTGGGAGGCTGAGGTTGCAGTGAGCCAAGATCACACCACTGCACTCCAGCCTGGGCAACAAGAGTGAAACTTGGTCTTTAAAAAAAAAAAAGGGGGGGGTTGGAAATTCCTTGAATTTTCCAACAGACATATCCAGTGAACTATTAGAGTAACAAACATGCATGGGACACACATTTGGGAGTCATCAGCATGTAAAACATCTGAGAGAAGACAAAGAGAGGGGAATAAAGAATCAAGTACTGATGAGAATAACAGTGCTAAGAGGCTCAAGAAACTACAAAGAAATCATAAAAGTAGTAATCAGAAGGGAAAACCAGGATGGTAAACTAACGCAAAGAGCAAGAAAAGAACATTAAGAAGCCTCAGTGGAAATAATAACACATACATACTAGCTGAAAAGAGTCAGGATGAAGCCAATGTAATCGACACAAAGGATGTCCTCTAAAGCAACAATCTGAATTATGCTATTCCAAAACTGCATAAGTCAGGAAAGTAGTAGTAAAAGAACTCAGGACTTGACTAGCCTGGACAACACAGTGAGACCTCATCTCTACCAGAAAAACACGAAATTAGCCAGTCTTGGTGGCACATGCCTGTAATCCCAGCTACTCAGGAACTGAGGTAGGAGGATCACCTAAGCCTGGGGAGGATGCAGTGAGCTGCAACTGCACTCCAGCCTGGGCAACACAGTGAGACCCTGTCTCTGAAAAAAAAAAAAAAAAGAAAAAAAAGAACTCAGGACAGCAACTATAATTCAAGTCTTAAATTTTTTGAAATAAAGAGAAATGCAGCAGATAGCTGGAAAGAACGGTAGCAGCAGTTAATCAAAACTGATTTTTTTTCCTCCCAAAGTACAGAAGTCTGTACATATCTGAAGGTAGGGAAGAAAAAACACTGCAAATAACAATCAAAGTGACAAGAGAGGTAAACTTAACTGTGGCAGCAAGATTCTTCTTCCATTCAATTTACAAAATAAGATGAAAGAACAGAGATTTGTTACGGTGACAATGAAAAAAAATGTGCAAGCTTACACCTGGTTTTTTTCATTTAAATAGAAGTAAATGGCATCTATTGAGAGTTAAAAGGAAGAAGGAATACAAGACAAGAGAAAAATGCAATCAATAAGATGATTGCCAAGAAGTAAGAAGGGCCTATTTGGAATTGTTCAGCATAAATTTATAGTGGCCAAGAAATCTTCATAATTACTCACCTTCCTCCACAAATATGCTGTGACCTGTGAGGGAAAACAAAAGAAATTGATGGTGGAAAAATTTGACAAATGGAGTCCAGTAAAATATAAAATAAACGAATGATGTCAAAGTACAGACTCTATCTAGTGCATACAGGAGTAAGGTAAAGTCTTAGTCTGTTTGGGCTGCTATAACAAAATACCATTAACTGGGTGGCTTACAAACAACAGAAAATGACTTTGGTGGGTTTTTTTTGTTTGGTAGAGATGGGGTCTCACTATGTTGCCAAGGCTGGTCTCAAGCAATCCTCCCACCTCAGCCTCCCAAAGTGCCGGGATTATAGGCATAAACCGCCGCACTCAGCCCAGAAAAATTATCTTTAATAGTTCTGGAGGCTGAGAAGTCCAAAATAAGGCACTGGCAGATTCAGTATCCGCTAAGAGCCAGTTTCTAGACTGCAGTCTTTTTGCTGTAACCTCACATGAAAGAAAGGGCTAACAAGCTGCCTGGAGCTTTTTTTTTTTTTTTTTTTTTTTTTTTGAAACGGAATCTCACTCTGTCACCCAGACTGGGTGTAGTGGTACGATGTGAGCTCACTGCAACCTCCACCACCCGGGTTCAAGCAAGTCTCCTGCCTCAGCCTCTCATGTAGCTGGGATTACAGGCTCCTTCCTTCTACCGCACCCAGCTAATTTTTGTATTTTTACTACAGACAAGATTTCACCATCTTGGCCAGGCTGGTCTTGAATTCCTAACCTCATGATCCATCCACCTCGACCTCCCGAAGTGCTGGGATTACAGGCATGAGCCACCCTACCCAGCCTGGAGTCTCATTTATAAAAGTACTAATCCCATTCATTAGGGTTCTACCCACTTGAGCTAATCACCTCCCAAAGGCCCCACCTCCTAATATCATCATCTTGGAGATGAAGATTTCAGCATGAATTTTGCAGAGATAAAAGCATTCAGATCATAGCACTGAGAAACTGAGAATCTCTATGAATGAAACACATAAAGGAACACAGGAAAAGTAATCACGTGGGCAAAGATCATAGAGTTCATACAACTCATTTAGGAGATAAAGGTATAGTATACACCATACTAATTTTTTTTCACTTTCTTATTAAAAATAATAAATATGGAACCCATCACAAATTTATGTGTCCTCCTTGTGCCCACGCTAATCTTCTCTGCATCGTTCCAATTTTAGCACATGTGCTGCAGAAGCAAGCACCATACTAGTCATTATTTTTTCCTCTGTTTGGATATAAAGTAAATGCTATGGACATAAAGGATTACAGGAGTCAGAAGGGGCTATACATCCAAAACTCTTATCATTATAAGAAGAATCAACCTAATTCCAAAATTTGGTACTGTAATTTTTACGACCACCGCAGTCTCCACAACCACAGAACGGGTGTGTTAAAGACAGGTATAGTGGCATCTACCCACCTCCTTTAAAGAATCACTACTACAGGCTGGATGCCCTGGCACACACCTGTAATCTCAGCACTTTGGGAGGCCAAGGTGGGCAGACCACTTGAGGTCAGGAGTTCGAGATCAGCCTGGCCAACGTGGCTAAGCCCTGTCTCTACTAAAAATACAAAAACAGTTGGGCATGGTGGCAGACGCCTGTAACTGCAGCTACTTGTGAGAATCACTTGAAACTGGGGGGCAGAGGATGCAGTGAGCTGAGATCAAGCCACTGCACTACATCCTAGGCAAGAGTGAAACTGTGTCTCCAAAAAAATAAATCTTGGGCCAGCATGCATGTTGGCTCACACCCATAATCCCAGTACTTTGGGAGGTGGAGTCGGGTAGATCATGAGGTCAGGAGATGGAGACCATCCTCGCTAACACACAGTGAAACCCCGTGGTCTCCACTAAAAATACAAAAAAATTTGCAGGAGTTAGGGCGCGCACCTATAGTCCCAGCTACTCGGCAGGGTGAGGCAGGAGAATTGCTTGAACCTGGGAGGCGGAGGTTGCAGTGAGCCAAGATCGTGCCCTTGCACTCTAGCCTAGGTGACAGAGCGAGACTCCGTATTAAAAAAAAAAAAAAAATTAGTTGGGCATGATGGTGCATGCCTGTAGTCCCAACTACTCGGGAGGCTGAGTCAGGAGAATAACTTGAACCCGGGAGGCGGAAGTTGCAGTGAGCCGAGATCGCACCATTGCACTCCAGCCTGGGTGACAGAGCAAGACTCTGTTTCAAAAAAAAAAAAAATCTTATTCCTCAAGTGTAATGAGACATAAACAAGCTATTTGGGTTATAGGAATGCTCAAAGCTCTTTTAGAAAAAAAATTATACTATATAATGTAATATAATCGCACCATTACTTTAGGATATTCTTACTAAGAGAATCATGGTCAGGACCAAGAGGGGCAGTTTTTTGAAGTTTCAATTTTTTTTTTTTTTTTTGAGACAGAGTCTTGCTCTCTGTCACGCAGGCTGGAATACAGTGGCACAATATTGTCTAACTAGAACCTCCACCTCCCAGGCTCAAGTGATGCTCCTGCCTCGGCCTCCTGAGTAGCTGGGTCTATAAGCGCATGCCACCATGCGTGGCTAATTTTTGTATTTTTAATTTTTGTATTTTTAATAGAGATGGGGTTTCACCATGTTGGCCAGGCTAGTCTCAAACTCCTGATCTCAAGTGATCTGCCCGCCTTGGCCTCCCAAAGTGTTGTGATTACAGGCGTAAGCCACTGCGCCCAGCCTAAAAGTTTCAAAATTTAAAATTAAAAAAATAAAATCACAGTATCAGTGTGCTCAGTATTTTTTAAAACAAAGGAGATAGAGATGGATGTTTTCCTTTTTTTTTTTTTTTTGAGACAAAGTTTGGCTCTTGTGCCAGGCTGTAGTGCAATGGCACAATCTCAGCTCACTGCAACCTCTGCCTCTTGGGTTCAAGCAATTCTCCTGCCTCAGCCTCCCTAGTAGCTGCGATTACAGGTGCCCACCACCATGCTAGGCTACCACTATTTTAATTGACTGTTAAATGTACCATGTACTATAAAACTATATAATACCATGAAAAGATGTTTTAATATTATAATAAATTAGGACTAAAAATTGAGTAAGTACTTAATAGGTTCCTTATCTGCAATTCCAAAAATCGAAAAAACTTCTGAAACCCCAACTAACTCATGTTAAACCTTACGCAAACTGATATGAAGCTATTCACGGTCTTTATTCTATTTAGTGCAAACATTCATACATTTTGCTATAGAAATAGTAACACTTTGGAAGACGGGTATTGCACTGGATTCTGTTAAAAGGCCACACATTACAACCTTGCCCATATCAAAAAAAAAAAATCTTACTCCAAAACCCTAAGAATTTGAATAGTGAACCATTATCCTATAATTGCTAACATTTATTGAGCTATTAACTATGCGTCAGGTACTGTTCTCTTCACTTTATATGAAATAACTCATTTAATCTTTCCAATTATCATGAGCTAGGTATTATAATAATCCCCATTTTACAAAGAAGTAAACTGAGACACGGAAGGATTAAGTAAACTGCCTAAAATCACAAAGCTAGAGTGTAACTAACTGGGATGACGCTGGGATAAATATTTAATATATTACACATAAGATTAACAAAACACAAGATAATTGATTATGGTAAGGCGGTAGGAGTCAATGATATATTTCTCTATTTGACATTACTTCCAGAATAAGGAATCAAACAAAAAATTACAAAACAGTACATGCATTTACAAATTCTCATTTATGTACAATTTCCATGAACTTGCTCAAAATGCAGAGAATAAACCCAAATTTCTCAGCTTATGCTAATATCGTTTTTATTGAAAAATAACATCTTAGCATCTTAATTACAACACATAATAATTCATATTCATTGCAGAAGTTTGAAAATTTGAATAAGCAAAAAGAAAATAATCATCTATAAAACTATACTCAGAAATAACCATTTAACAATTTGGCACATTTGCTTCCAGACATCAATATATTATTGTTTTGGGTTTTTTTAACAAAATGAAATCATGTTTTTAAATCTACTTTTTCTCACGTATACCAAGACATCCTTTCATGTCTTTATATTATCCTTTCATCGTTTTCATGGCTGAGTAGGCAGTATCCCACTGTAGGGATAGACCCTAACAATCACTGTGGAATATTTAGGTTGTTTCATTTTACCACATTATGATCAGCAGTACTGGCTCTGGAGTCACACTGGTCGGATTCAAGGCCTGGCCCTAATACTTACTAACTCAGCCACCTTGAGCAAGCAACCTAATTTCTCTTTGCCTGTTTTCTCTTCTGCAAAACAAAAATAGTACTACCCACTTCATATGATTACTGTGGTGGTTAAAGATATTAATACTCAGCTTTTATTATCAACAAAACGGCAGTTGGTATGTTCACAGCTAAATCTTCACACACATCTTTACTACAACAAAAAAATGCCTTTAAAGGGAATTTTCATGTCAGAAGGTATGCCCATTTTTAAGGCTCTGAGTCTGCCAAATTAGTGTGGTTTAAAGCCCTTCTTCAAATAGCCTTCTCACTTAACCCTCATTTCTCTTTATCCAAGAAGGCAAAAACTATTACCCAATTAAGTCAATCAGCTTGGTTCACTCAATTCGTTTTTTGTGCTTCCACCTGTAAACCTCGGCATATTTAATAAAACCTTAAAGTTTATAGGTAACTAGAAGACACCTGGCCCAAATTATCCTTCAGCACAATTCCTCTACTCTAGAATCCCCAACTTGTCAGTGAATAGGACAGACTACCACCCAAAACAACCCATTCTATTTTTACAATTTTGAGGAAATATCTCTTGGAAGACAGCTGAAATCTGCTTCTTTTAAACTTCTACCCACTGACCCTAGTTCCTTCTGGTCAAGGTAAATCTGATCCTTCTGTGTGACAGACCTCCAAATCCTTAAAGGTAGCTGTTACTTCTTAAAAGAAAACACCCCATTTTTTTTCAACTTTTTCTCATTTCAAATTTCTCTCATGTTTATGCTCTACAGATAAGTGATTTCAATACTTAAACATGTCCACCACCTTGGAAATGAGAAAAACAAGAGGTCTGTTCCTATCTTACTTAATCTTGAGCCTCTGCGTGTTTTTTTTTTATTATTAGCTCTCCAGATGATTCTGAAAGAGTCTGAGAATGAATACAAGGTCTCGCTTACGATATAGTATGCTGCCCAAAAAGCCGTCCCAATACCCCAAGTATAATATAACCAGTACAAAATAAAGTGGGGCTAACCTTGCTCTTTCAATAAGCTGTTCTACCAACTTAAGAATTATTCACGGACAGGTATGGTGGCTGACGCCTGTAATCCCAACATTTGAGAGGTCGTGGTGGGAGGATCACTTGAGTCCAGGAGTTTGAGACCAGCCTGGGCAACATAGTGAGATCTTGTCTCTACAAAAAAACTAAAAAATTAGCCTGATGTGTTGGCACATACCTGTAGTTCCAGCTACTCAAGAGGCTGAGGCAGAGGCAGAGGCAAGATCGCTTGAACCTGAAAGGTGGAGCTTGCCGTGAAATATAATTGCACCACTGCACTCAGCCTTGGTAACAGAGCAAGTAAGACCCTGTCAAAGAGAGAAAAGGGGCAGAGGGGAAGACAGGGTGGGAAGGGTGGGAAGGGGAGGAAGGGGAGAAAGGGGAGAAAGGGGAGAAGGAGGAAAGGGAGGGAGAGAGAGACAGAAAGGTGCACTAGGCCACCAAAAACTGAACTGACAGCTGATTGCATCAAAGCATCTTCTCTGTATAGAGCACTGTGATGTGAACACATAGAAAAAACACAGGCCCTGATACTGATCTCATCTAGTGCTAGATTTACCTTCTAGAAAGCATAAAGGAACAAACATCTTCAGAAAGGTGTATTACTAACTATAGCTGTCCCAAAGGAAACATATCAGAGCTATAGAAACATTGTGATTACTAGCTGGATATCATAATAGTTGTTGGGAAGGAGAGGGGAGGGGAGAGATGACACTAAGGAAACTAAGTTGCTCTGGCTCTGCACGTCAAGATTTTGTGTGGGTTTGTTTTTTAATGTCTGCAAAGTTAAAGTCAGAGAGAAGAGATGGAGGCCATCGGTGAGTTCATCTGAACTCAGGCTACTTACAAAAAGAGACTGGGTAACTGCCTCATGCACCCTCGAAAATAAATTCATAATTCAAAACTTCATGTAATTTCTGAATTCCTCATGACACGCGGTTTCACGATGTCAGCCAGGC